GAGGATGATGGCAGTCATGCTCTTCCGGTGCCTCGTACTTCGAGATGTTTAGGGTTCAGTGTGTTGAGGTTTAGGGTTTGGGGTTTAGGGTTTAGGGTTTAGGGTTGGGGTTTGGGGTTTAGATTAGGGTTTAGGCTAAATCCTCAACCCTTATCCCTAAGCGCTCAAGCCTCAAACTCAGTGTACCTTTAGGATTTAGGGGGTTTTGGAGTTGAGAAGTCATTGATTTGGCTTTGGGGTTTAGGGTTTAGGTATTAGGGGTTTAGGGTTAACTCGCCGGCACCTTGTCAAGGATTTGCCGGACAAAAACACCTCGAGAGTCGTTGTTTACAGATCGGTTCAATGTTCCGCAGATGGGTCTTTGCGGTTCATCCCAGGGACTGTGTCGTCTAATAATGGAGGGTTTTGCGCTTCAAGGTTTGCGAGGCTCATCTAATGTCTATGGTCGAGATTGCGAAATGTCGCACCTCTCGGTGCACAGACCCTAAACCGTAAACCCTAAACCCTAAACCCTAAACCCTAAACCCTAAGCCCTGAGACCTTAGAGTCCACGACGTCTTTTCTTAGAGGCCTGTAAGACCCTGTCAAGAACTCCCGAACCCTGAGCCCGAAGCCTTCAAGCCTAGGCCGCACAAGCGCTGCAGCCCTAAACCGTGAACACTGCCGGACACCGAAACTGTTTAGGGTTTAGGGCTTGGGGTTTAGGGTTTAGGGGCACCGAAACTGAGGAGCCTGACGTTCGTTTCCCCGGTGCCAGCATTCCGCACGCAGCGAGTGGTGGCTGTCCTGCGACAGGCGCCCCTAAACCCTAGACCCTGTGCCCTGAATCCTAAACGCTTTGCACTAAGCCCCAAACCCAAACCAATAATAGGGGAAGCATCGCGAGGGCGAGGAGTCCCAATCTTGTGCTATGGGGGCTTTGTAGCCTAAACCCTGAATCCTAAACCCTAAACGCTAAATCCTAAACCCTAAACCGTAAATCCTAAACCCTAAACCCTAAATCCTAAACCCTAAGCGCTAAATCCTAAACCCTAAACCGTAAATCCTAAACCCTAAACCCCAAACCCTAAACCCCCCTCGTATGCGAGTTCGGGGGCTCCGAGGTTCCGAGTGTAGAATGCTCGGGGTGATAGTAGGGGTCTGGGACTATCGGGCTTGGGAGCCTGGGATCTTTTGGGTTTAGGGTTTCGGGTTTAGGGTTTAGGGTTTACGGTCCCTTCACAAAATCTAAAGGAACCCTCTAGAGCCTTTCAAGAGCCCGTCATTATAGTCCGTATAGACTTATAGAGCCTTTACGAAGCTTGTATATCTCTTCTAGAACCTTGTAGAACCAATCTGGAGCCCTGATAAGGCCCCTTTTTTTCAAGCCTCTGATAGAACCCTAAACCCTAAACCCTAAACCCTCAGATGGCTTGAAGCCCAGGATTGTGCCTCAGAATCGTTCGGCCCTACAGCAGGCCACCTACACCAAAAATCCCTAAACCCTAAACCCTAAACCCTAAACCCTAAACCCTAAGCCCTAAACCCTAAACCCTCAAGCTTGGTAGGCGGAGGCCACGGCGGACACTGCGGGAAAGGCGATGGGCAGAGAGGGGAAGGGAGCATCGGCTTTAGGGTTTAGGTTCTAGGGTTTAGGGGTTTAGGGGTTTAGGTTTAGGGGTTTAGGGTTTAGGGGTTTAGGGGTTTAGAGTGTATGGTTTAGGGTTCAGGGGTTTAGGGGTTTAGAGTGTATG